ACCCCAACACTTTTCATAGGATTGGTAATTCATGGGGTGATATCATTAGGATTGATTATGAGGATCCAAAATCATTAAATTTTAGAAAGATTCTAGTGCACACTAGAGTTATGAAGACTATCTGTTCTGAGGTAGTGGTGAAGTGTAACAATAAGGATTTTGTTGCTACGATTAGAGAAGGACAGATTGATATGGTGTTTATGGAGGAAATTGACTGTAAGTGCGGTCTTAGTTTTATTGTTGATCATCGTTCGAAATCCTTAGTCGCCAGGGGCAAGAGCTAGAAAGGGAAAAGTCATGTTAGGATGGGTAATAATGATGAGGTGGATCAGGTCTACTCTCCGCAGGTGGTAGTTAGAGCTGTAACGTCAGGCATGCATGGGTATTGGGACTTGGTGTCGGCGGTGAAGAAGTCACGCCCAGTGCATCTTCAAGGGGAGGCTAGTAATCGTGAGGGAAGTGGGCGTTTGAAATTTGTTAGGTCTTTTAATGAGTTGGGCTATGATCAAACTCAAGTGGGCTTTTTGAGAAGCTTTAGTGGCTCTCTTGGACCTTTACCTGGGCTAAACATAGAGATTGTATTGGGTGAATCCTCAGTTGTTGAGCCTCATTTTGGTAATAGGTGCACTATAACTGATATTGAGGAGATGGGTCACAATAAGGAGGATGAGCTGATTGGCCCTGTTATTGGCAAAGATATAAGGGTTGTAGATGAACCTGAGGTACAAGGGTCCATGGTGGGTGTTCAATCTCAGTTGGTGGAAGAGGAAATTTTTGGTAGGTTCTCAGTTATTGAGGATAGGGCTAATCCGCAGCCTAAGTAAAAAATGGAGGTTGCCAGAAAGGGTTGTAAGAAACCTCTACCTGTGGATTTGATCAAATGGCTTTGAAGTCACGTTACCCTTAAAGCTGCTATTGCAGCTTTATCTTTGGCCTCGACCTCAAAGTAGGGTGCTAGCAATGACATAATTATTCTCAATGAAACCCAAGAGACTATGTTGATGGGTAAAGCAGTAGGTATTGAGTTCGATGATTCTAATACTATGTTGCTCAACAAAATTTCCGATTTGGAACGGAAAGTTATGACAAGGATTGAGGAAATGAGGAATCAACACATTAGGTAAGTTTCTTGTCTAGTATGGTGTCATGACCCAATCCTGCCCCTATGGATAAGGTCATAACCGGCCAGTAATCATGAGATTACCAGCGGCCTCAAACCTGATTAAACATTTTTCATAGAAATGAGGGGCCAAATAGAAGTAGATTGAAATTTTTTTTGTCCAATGAGCTGTGCTTACATGGCAAAACAAAACATTTCAGAAGTAGTCTATAATAACTCACACACATATGCATAGAGTTAACATCTTATATTCGTCCAGGAACTTTCAGATATGTAGCTATCCAAACAAAAACTTATGTACATAAGTGATCCAACGTGTTCACCAAAATAATAGAAAGTGAACAAAAGATCAAAAGAACAAAAGCAAAGTCTCGTGCGTGAGACATTCGGGTTGACTCTTCAAACTGACTTCCTCTCACATTCTTCACTGAGGCTGGGTTTGGACCTCTCTTTGCCCATCTACATGCACATAAATGAGAGTAAGCGAAAGTCTAGTGAATAATATCAAAATAAAGAAATTACATGAACGAATCCAGAACGGACATATCCAAAGGCCTTAGGCCTATTCTTGTTTGTATCTAGTACATCAAATGGCCTCAATCCCAAACATATCAAATGACCTCGGGCCCAATTCATCCATGTCAAACGACTTTTGGCCCATTCATTTATGTCCAACGGCCTTTGGCCCAATCATTCATGTCAAACGCCCTTTGGCCCAATCATTTATGTCAAACGGCCTTTGACCCAATCATTTATGTCAGACGGCCTTTGGCCCAGTCATTCATATGAAACGGCCTTTGGCCCAACATTCATATCAAACAGCCTTTGGTCCAACATTCATATCATATGGCCTTTGGCCCAACATTCATATCAAACGGCCTTTGGCCTGACATTCATATCAAACGGCCTTTGGCCCAATTATTCATGTTATGTGCATTTCATACTTTAGATCATAAGCATGTCGTAGTCATAATCATGTTCCAACGGCTTTATTCAATCATTAGCATGACGAATAGCCAATTCATTTTAACAACTCCGTAGAACTCATACATAAGTGAGCATTTAGAAAGTAGCATACTTCAATACATTCTTATTAAGATATTACTCATAGTGTTCTGCTGATGGATTCGCCCTTGCGCTTGGCCCTACACAATTTACAACATATCGGATTACAAGCGATTCAATCCGTTCTCGAATAATTTATTTCTCTTAGGCCTCTTTCTTATCCCTTTAACTCATTTACAATGTTCCATGCATGCCTAAGAGTGCTTAGAAATGAAAGAGAACCGAAAAAGGAGCGTAAAACAACTTTTCAAAATTTCTAAAATAGGGCTCTCCGCTCGAGCGCAGCTTTGGTCGCTCGAGCGGACCCCTTTGGTCTACAAAAGTACTAGTTGTGTGTGATTTACGCTCGAGCGAGATTCTCGACTCTCGAGTGGGGAGTCTTCGCAAAACAGGGTTCGCTGGAACGTAAAGTCTGTTGCTTGAGCCACTGTGCATTTTCTACAAAACTTTTGGGAGCCAAATTTTCACGCTCGAGCGAGACTTTCCTCGCTCGAGCGGACTAGTCGAATTCTGGGTTTTCCAGAATTCTGTTTAAAGCTAAAAATGTACTCCCAAAGGTCCAAAGCTTGCATATTTTGTACCAAGTCATGGAAAAACAATGCCTAGCATGAAAACATGGGTAATTCGAAATCAATTGACCCAAAATCATGATCCATATTTCAAATCATCACAAGCTCTTCTTGTAATTTCAAAACTCATGCAATTAAGCCTTCAATTTTCATGAATCATGCATGCATGTAAAATATTTAATCCAATTCTACTTCAAATGCTAGAAATGATGCTCATAGTCATAAAGCTCAACAAAACTACGCATGCATGAGTAATTTGACACTCAATTCTACATATTCAACATTCCTCATGTCAAATTTATGGCTAACTCTCACATGCATGTACTTATTAACTTCAAATTCATTATTATCAACTCAATTCTTGTTATTCATTACATAACTTGTTTGAATTCACATGATTACAAACTAAAACCCACGGGTTTGAGTTCAATCACTCACTTAGGAGCTCAAATCATCCAAATTCTAGCTAGCTCCTTGAATTAACCTTCTCAAATTCAAGCTCCTTGCTTAATTCCACAATTTTGTCTTTACCCTCTCTCTAGAACCGACCCTCTCTCTCTCTCTCTCTAGAGTGTAATTTCAGCCAAGAGGAGAGAAATGAGCTCAAAAGTGATTATAAGTGTAAATAAGTCACTTATATATATACTTGCCTAATGAATTTTGATTAAGGCAAATCAATTGTGCCTACTTCAATCAATTTAATCTAATTATTTTGACCCGAATCAATTTTTAATTAAACTTCACCGTAGGCTCTAAAAATTATGCTAAGCACAAAAATTCAGTCAATTTCGTTTTTTGACGCCTCTACGGTCTTTAATTAAATTTTATAGCAGAGAATCAAACAGATTTTCCTACGGTGAACAGATAGAAATTCAAAAACGCATATGATCATATAAATGGCACTCAAAATCATATTAAGCACATAATCACAATCATAATTAAGATTAATTAACATAACATGGGATAGGGTTATCATATATGGGGTAGTTTGTGTTTTTCATTTGTTTAATTATGCATCTTTTGTCATGGAACATTAGAGGTTTGGAGAGGGAGATAAAAAGGAGGAAAATCAGGAAAGTCATCAAAGATGAGAAGGTGGATATGGCTCTTTTTCAAGAAATTAAGAGAGCTAATGTTAGTATGCAGATGGTGAGATCAGTTTGGCCTTTTGATAGTTTTGAGTTTATGGAAGTTGTAGCTAATAGTACTACTGGTGGGCTGTTATGTGTGTGGAACCCTAGGGTTTTTGTGCTTCAGGATAGTTGTTGCTCTAGGAATTTTATTGTGCTTGCTAGAAAGGTAAGATCAGAATTTGAATGTTGGATTGTCAACCTGTATGCTCCTAATGAAGTGTCCAAGAGCAGAGATTTATGAGATCCGTTAGTTAGAATCAAACCATTGTTCCCCAAACCCTGGTGCATTGGGGGTGATTTTAATGAAATTAGGACTATTGGTGAAAGGGTTGGTTGCTCTAAGAGAAGTGTGGGTATGCAGGATTTCAATGAGTTTGTTGACATTATTGAAGGGGATGAGCTGCCAATGTTACAGAAGAAGTTTACTTGGAGCAATTCTAGTGAGAATGGGAAATGAAGTCGTATGATACGTTCATCCTAGACTCTAAGTGGCTTGTGGGCTTTGATTTTAAGTGTTGGGGGCTACCTAGGTCTGTATTTGACCATTGCCCTATTATCCTGAAAAATGATGCTAGGGATTGCGGGCCTAGGCCTTTTGGGTTCATGAATTATTAGGCTCTCCATTCTAGGTTTCTACTATTGCTAAGAAGGTATGGCTTGAAGTAGCTTTCGATGGGTGGGCAAGTTATAAATTGTTCAACAAGTTGGGCACCTTAAAGAAGCATTTGAAGGAGTGGAATACCTACGTTTGGTAATCTCACATCTCAATTGAAACTTGCTGAGGTGGAATTCCACCATCTGGACCTGCTAGCTAAGTCCAAAGAGTTGACAGCTCAAGAGAGGTGTAGGAAAGCAGAATTGAGAGAGGCAATGTGAAAATTAAACAAGAGTACTTAGTTGTTTTTGCTTCAGAAATCCAGACAAGATTGGTCACTCAGAGGTGATAAAAATACAAGGTATTTCTATTTGTTGGTGAAGTGCAGACATAATATTAATATTATTAACTCAGTGGTAGTTAATGGGGTGGTGTGTAAGGAACCAACAACTGTAAGACATGGGGTGTGGAATCACTGTAAGAGTGTATTTTCAGAACCATGGAAGATTAGACCCAAAATGGGGGGAGTTTTCCAAACTTTAGTCGGATCCAAAGCATCTAATCTTGTAAAGGAGTTCACAGAATCTGAGGTGTGGTGTGCCTTGAAGAATTATGATGGAAATAAGGTACCGGGGCCAGATGGGTTTAATCTTTTTACTATCAAGAAGTGTTGGAAATTTATGAAAAGGGGATATCATGCTATTTTTTCAAGAGTTCTTTGCCAATGGTAAGTTGGTCTTAGGCCCCACCTCTTCATTTATAGCTCTTATTCCAAAAAATGAAAACCCCATTTGCCTTAATGACTATAGGCCAATCAGCCTTCTTGGTTCTATATATAAGATTCTTGCTAAGGTACTATCAGGTAGATTGAAGTTAGCTCTTTCATCCATTATTAATCCATCCCAGTCAGCTTTCTTGGGGGGAAGATTCATTCTTGATAGGGTGTTGGTAGCTAATGAGGTGTTGGATTGGTAGAGAAGTAAGAAGATGAAATGTGTGGTTATAAAACTTGATTTTGAAAAAGCATATGATTGTGTGAAATGGAATTTCTTGCTCAATATGATGGAAAAATTTGGCTTTAATCATAAGTGGAGATCTTGGATTAAAAATTTTGTCACCAATGCCAGGCTCTCAGTACTAGTCAATGGTAGTCCTACAACTGAGTTTAATGTCGAAAGGGGTTTAAGACAAGGGGATCTTCTTTCTCCCTTCTTGTTTGATATGATTGTGGGAAAGTCTTAATATTCTGATTTTGAGGGCTAGAGAGTTGGGACTCCTGAATAGGACTGATATTGGGAATGATTGGGTCAAAGTATCCCATCTTCAGTTCGCGAACGATACTATCTTATTCTGTGAGGCCAACTGGGATGAACTTCTGTGTATCAAAAGGTTACTAAGAAGCTTCGAAGTTGTTTCTGGGCTCAAGATCAATTATAGCAAAAGCATGGTTATTGGGTTTGGTGTGGAAGAGGATCTTATGGAACAGTTTGCTGATAAGCATATGTTCCATGGGTGTACTACTTATTACCTTTTTGAGATTACCTCTTGGGGCTAGTCCCAGACTTAAATCCACTTGGGCCCTTATTGTCAAGCAATTTAAGGTTAAGCTTGCTAGCTAGAAGAGAAGGAATTTGTCTTTTGGTGGCAGACTCTCTTTGATTAAATCTGTGCTGAGTAATCTGCCCGTTTATTACATGTCCATGTTCAAGCTGTCGGAAGGAGTCACTAAACAACTTGATCGAATTCAGGCATCCTTTTTGTAGGGAGGTTCTGATCTGAAGAAAAAATTGCATATGGTAAAGTAGAGTAAAGCCACTAAAGACTTGAGAGTTGTGGCTTGGGCATTAGGAGAGTTAGGGATGCGAATTTGTGTCTTCTAGCCAAGTAGTGGTAGAGGTTTGGGTGTGTGGAGAAGGCCCTTTGGAAAGATATCATTTGTAGCAAGTATAAGTTAGCTCGTAACTCTTGGCTACCTTCGGTTGATTCTCACATAAGAGGGTCCAAAGTTTGGACCGACTTATTGTCGGTGGGTTTTTTCTAGGCCTACCTTCTATGACTTTTTGCGTTCCAATGTTAGCATTATTCTAGGCGATGGTATGAGATGCTCCTTCTGGAATGATGTGTGGATTGGTGATGGTTGCTTGAAAAATTATTTCCCTAGATTGTATCTGCTTTCACTGGATAAAGTGTTGGCTCCATCCACTACCCACATGGTAAGGAGCCCACCCTCCACATAGTGTGGGTGGCACCAGGTGGTAAAAGAAGGCGGTGGAGGGCAACACTAACTCACTAAAGGAAGATAGTGGGGGTGGCACCACCTTGGCCAATTATGGCTAGCACTTCACCTACTCCTCCTCTCTTGGTTATAAATTGAGATGAGTGAGGAGGGGTTTGTATCATCAGAAATTGAGAGTGAGAGCTGTGAGTTGAGTGAGTTTCATCTCCTCCTCTGTATTTTTATTTTTGCTCCATTTTAGTGATAATTCTCTTTTCTGTCCGTGGATGTAGGCATTGGGCCGAACCACGTAAATATTGTGTTCTCTGTGTGTGTGAGATATTTTTCTGGGTGTGTTTGATTCTAACAAAGTGGTATCAGAGCCAAGTTGTACGTTTTTCCGAAAAACAGAGTGTTGTTTCGAAACTGCCCAGAAATCGTATTGCTCGAAATCAGATTTTGAGCATACTACGAGCAAGGGCTCGACGAGAGGAGTCCAGAAACATAAAACAGACACCCAACGGAGGCCGGACGCGCCCTCACACGCCCCTGGAAGTTGGTGCGTGAGTCCCAGTCTCGTCACGCGCCCTCACGCGCCGTTCAGGAAACCGGCGCGTAATCCCAATCTCACCCACGCGCCCCACGCGCGGCGCAAGGAGGACGACGACCTGAGGGAGCAGCGCGTGCCATACACGCGCCATCAACACGCGCGCGCACCAAGCCGAGCCGGAGCCGAGTTGACCAAGCCGCTGACTGAGTCGCTGACGTCAGCCTGACGTCAGCAGAACCGGAGGAATAATCTGGTGCTTCGCAGGCGCACCAGAATCTGCCGATCTGAACCATTCAATCTGTTTTGGCTTGATCTAAGCCATTTGAGATCCAATTTTGGTGATCCAATAGTGGTTTTCGACTATTTGGAGTATTCCGGACACATCCGTATAGTCAGATTTTGCAAATAAGTTTTTCAACAATTTGCAGTTTTTATTTTGGCAATCCGAAGTGCTTTTCCGGCTAATTTGAGCAGTCCGGACTTCACAGCAAAGCCTGTTTTTCAAATAGAGATCTTGTTTTTTGTATGATGGAGGATCCAACGTCGACTTCAGGTTCCATGATAAAGTTAAATGCTTCCAATTATGCCATTTGGAAGCCTAGAATGGAAGATGTCTTGTATTGCCGAGATTTGTTTGACCCCATTGAGCTTAATGGAGTAAAACCACCAACGGAAAAAGACGAAGACTGGAAGCGGAAGAACCGAAAGACCATTGGCCAGATCAGACAATGGATTGATCACAGTGTCTTCCACCATGTCGCCCAGGAGACTGATGCCTATGCTCTCTGGACAAAGTTAGAAGGCATGTACCAGTCGAAGACTGCTCGGAACAAAGCCCTCCTGATGAGAAGACTTATGAATTTGAAGTTGAAAGGCGGTATCTCTGTTGCTGAACCCACCAGTGAGTTTCAAAACTTGGTGAACCAACTAACTACTGTCAAAATAGAGTTAGATGATGAGATGCAGGCCCTATTGCTGCTCAGTTCTTTGCCAGACAGTTGGGAGACATTGGTGGTGTCTCTCAGCAACTCTGCCCCAGAAGGGAAACTGACCATGAGCATGGTTATAGATGCTTTATTTAGTGAAGAGGCAAGAAAGAAAGAAATGGGTGGAGATCAATCCCATGCCCTCGTCACAGAAAATAAAAGCAGAGGCAGGGGCAGGGGAAGAAGCAAAAGTAGAGGACACAGCCGAGGAAGATCTCAAGACAGAGGGAAATCCAGAGAAGGTACGAGCCGGCCAAAGTTCAAATGTTACCATTGTGGCCAGGAGGGTCACATAAAGAAGTATTGCTATGCCTTGAAGGGAGAACAACAACAAGGCAATAGACAGCCAAAGACCGAAGATGGGACCACTGCAGTTTCTGTCTCAGAGGATATTGCATTATTCTCTGTTGAAGAAGAAGAATGCCTCCATATGTCAGACAACGACACCGAGTGGGTGGTAGATACAGCAGCTTCCTACCACGCTACATCCCAAAAGGAGTTCTTCAGTACGTACCAAGCTGGAGATTTTGGTACAGTGAAAATGGGTAACTCCAGCTTTTCAAAAATTGTGGGAATTGGTGATGTTCATATCCAAACCAAAGTTGGGTGCACGATGGTGTTGAAAGATGTCAGGCATGTTCCCGATTTACGCCTGAATCTTATTTCAGGGATAGCCTTAGATCGACAAGGCTATGAGAACTACTTTGGCAAAGGCATATGGAAGTTGAAAAAGGGATCTCTCGTGGTAGCCAAAGGACAGGCAATTGGCACACTATACAAGACTTACCCAAGTCAAGAATGAAGGCTCTCCCACCTACTCCTTTTGTGTATAAATAGAGACGGGAGGGAGAGGATGTTTTACATCAGAAATTGGAGAGTGAGAGCTGTGAGTTGAGTGAGTTTCATCAGACCTTTGAAGACTTTGGGCAACCAGCCAAACCCAAAGTTGATGATGTTTCAGAAATTATTCCAAACCCTGCACCATCACAGCATGCCACTGATGAAGAAGAGTTACCGCAGCATGCAGTCAATGATGTAGAGTTGCAGGATGGATTTCTAGAAGAAGAAGATCCAGAAGCAGAGGGTGTTGAGCAGGGGGAGCCACAACCTCCTCTACCAGAGACTGTTGGTCCACAGTTACGAAGATCAACAAGAGAATTTAAGCCGTCAACCAAATACCCTCCTTCTGAGTATATTTTGCTTACCGATGAGGGGGAGCCAGAAAGTTTTCAAGAAGCTCAAAATCATAAGGAGAAGAGTAGCTGGCAGCAATCTATGCAAGAAGAGATGCAATCCTTGCAGAAGAATCAGACTTATGATTTGGTGAAACTTCCCCAGGGTCGAAAAGCATTGCAGAACAAATGGGTGTTCAAGTTGAAGAAAGATGGCAGCGGAAAGCTAGTCAAGTATAAGGCTCGATTGGTTGTCAAAGGTTTTGGGCAGAAGAAAGGTATTGATTTTGATGAAATCTTCTCGCCAGTTGTGAAAATGACATCCATTCGAGTAGTTTTGGGACTAGCAGCTAGTTTGAATTTGGAACTTGAACAAATGGATGTGAAGACAGCATTTCTCCATGGTGATCTGAAGGAAGAAATTTACATGGAGCAGCCAGAAGGTTTTGAAGTCAAAGGGAAAGAAAACTTAGTCTGCAGATTGAAGAAGAGTCTCTACGGCCTCAAACAAGCGCCGAGACAGTGGTACAAGAAGTTTGACTCATTCATGGTAGGTCATGAGTACAAGAGAACTGCTGCAGACCAGTGTGTTTATGCCAGGACATTTCCCGGTGGAAACTTTATCATACTTCTGCTCTATATTGATGACATGTTGATCGTTGGACAAGATGCCACAACAATCAGATCACTGAAGAAGGAGTTATTACAATCCTTCTGACATGATGACCAAGGGTGTCACCAGAGACAAACTGGAAGTTTGCAAGCATCTGATCGGGATGGACTTCAAGTGAGAAGTCAGTTGTCCATGTGGGCGTGGAGGGGGAGAATTGTTGGCTCCATCCACTACCCACATGGTAAAGAGCCCACCATCCACATAGTGTGGGTGGCACTAGGTGGTAAAAGAAGGTGGTGGAGGGCAACACTAACTCACTAATGGAAGATAGTGGGGGTGGCACCACCTTGGCCAATTATGGCTAGCACTTCACCTACTCCTCCTCTCTTGGTTATAAATTGAGATAAGTGAGGAGGGGTTTGTATCATCAGAAATTGAGAGTGAGAGCTGTGAGTTGAGTGAGTTTCATCTCCTTCTCTGTATTTGTATTTTTGCTCCATTTTAGTGATAATTCTCTTTTCTGTCCGTGGATGTAGGCATTGGGCCGAACCACGTAAATATTGTGTTCTCTGTGTGTGTGAGATATTTTTCTGGGTGTGTTTGATCCTAACAGAAAGATGCCTCTGTTTTTGATATTTTCAGTTCTAGATCTTCATCTAATCGGTGGGTGTTTACGTTTAGAATACACCTCTTTACCTAGGAATCTGATGACTTCTCCTCTCTTGTTCTTCTACTGAATTCTGCACCAGCATTAAGGCAATGAGAGGTGAATAAATTGGTATGGAAGTTGGGTGCCTTTATACTCAGTGAAATCAGCTTGTCCTTCAATGATAGCCCACGTTCAATGGTGCCTAAGCTATTGTGAAAGGGCATCTCACATGTTGGTTGGCATGGAGAGGTCAGCTAAAAACATCAGTGTTTCTTCAAAGTATTGGTGTCCTTGATTCCAATGGAAGTTCCCTATGTTGCTTCTATAATTCTTGTGCTGAAGATGTGAGTCATGTTCTTATACACTGTCA